ATTATGTATTTACCTTATATTTAGTTCAAAAGTTATAATTTCATTCGTACTTTTTGTACATAATACCTATGTTATTATATAATTTTAGTACTAACCGGGTTACTCATTTAATTTATTTTTCAAATATTTAATTTTTTGTTTTTGAACAATGTGAAGAAGAGAATTTTAATTTTTTCATTGCAGCTTTATATTCTGGTCAGAGCGATAAATGTATTGCTTTTACAATGATGTGTGTTTTTTTTTGTTTTTCTGTCGTCGTTTATCATCTTTTAGAACAAAAAGAAGCTTTGATCTTCAGTATTGAGGGATGTTTATGGTAGGAAATTGAATCTATTTTGTACTTAGGGGGTAAAAGGGGGAACTAAAGTAAAAATTCACAGTTCCTACTTTTAAAAATAATCGGGAAAAAAAATTACTGAAAAAGGGAATTAATTTACCTAAACTGGTTTTAGATGGTTTTAGAAAACATCGAAAAAAATCAACTTCAAAAAAAATGTTCAATTAAAATTTATTAAACATGATCTTCTCGTAATTTTATGATTATTTAATACTCTTTTTGCGTTATTTATAGACATTTAAAATTTAAAATGTATTGATATTTTTCTAATTCAAAAAGCCTGACATTTTTTATTACAAATTAACACGTTGTGAATCCCACAATGAAGTCCTCAAGTTACGCCTATTATACAACATAATACCTATAGTAAATAAAATATAGCCACTATATTTTTTGTTAATAAATGATAGTATAGTATAATATGATATGTAGGTAGATATGCAACAAAATAATAATATATTATATTATTATATTGATTACGGAACAATACATTTTGCCAACAGGCAACAAATAAGGATTATTATTACATGTTGTGGTATGCATCTTTAATATTATAATCAAATATAACATGTGCGGTATATCGTGGAGCCGTGCGTTGTAATGCGGAAACACGAAAACTACTCAAATCAAAGGTTAGGCAAGACTCCATACTATTATATTATTATCGAATGGAGACTTCATAACATAGCCTTACGAAACGACTTAAGAATACTTAAAACATAATAAATATAGGTAGGTACAATTATAGAATACGCGCTGTAGTGTACTAATTATGAAAGATAAATAAAAAGAGGGGTAAAAACCACCCATGAATAATATAATATAATATAATATAAAATGTGTATATACTTCAGTCAAACACGAAACGCTCGTTGCAGTAGTGGTGTATACAGTGTAATAAAAAAATAAATACACAAAAACGTGTATAGTGCGTATATACATACCCATAATATATATATATGTACTACTGTACATTCGAAAACCTTATTATATAATATGGCGAACGTACACAAAGCGCGCCCAATACGCGAGCGGTTTGCTAACGAGAAGTCACCGTTTGCCCTCGTGGAATACGCGTCTTGGATTACTGTCAGACGTCTTGAATTTTTGTCTATAGAATTTAGAAATAACGCGGCGGCCCAATCGATATCTCACCGTCGGAATACGCGGACGCCGCCGCCGCCGGAAAAGCCATAAAAAGACGATTAAATATTATATAGGTAGAATATATAAAAAACAAACAAAAACACAGCCGTCGGAAATAGAGTGCGCGTGTAAAAATGACGCTTGAGGCATGGGTACCGAAATTTGGAAATACTGAAAACCTTGGAACCCGCCCAACCGAAATCTGTTTAGATTGTAGGTTGGTTGGTGGGGTATGGAGGGTTGGCACTTTAGGAAGAAGTTCTAGAGCACGACCACGCAGGGAATAGATATTCTTGGGAATAATTAAATTATTATTTTATTTATAAATTAAATTAGGAAAAATTAAAATTGTTTTCGATTATCGTTTTTATTTATCGATAATCATTATATCTTTTGATGCCCATTTTATGTATTATTTGTATGAGTATAATATATTATTGACTTATTAAAAAGGTTTATTATAATCATTTAAAAAAGTATTATGAAATCCTGTTCTCTATATACACAGGTTAAATATTAATTATTGAGAACAGTTAATATTTTTAACAAAACAAAAAAGTAACCATACATGTATATTACTCAACTACTGAAAAATCTTTTAAAATTTTTTTTCAGATTTTAAGAATGGCGAGAAAACAATACTAAAAAAATTAGCTAGGAGAGCTCACTTTACGAGCCTGCTAAATTTCCGGTTTTTAAACGCAATAAACTATGTAATACCATATTATATTTATAAAAATATATTTATCGATCTCATCCATCAACAATCTTAACTATGTACTATTAAGTGGTAACTAACGAACGGACGGACACAACATTGGTATAAATTTAAGCTATAAAGTATAAAGTATTTTAAACTTATGTTTAGAAACCTAAAATCGAATAAAATGTAGAACAAAATGTTTTGTTGATTACCAGTTACCACCTATTCATTGTTATCGTATAGAATATAGGTATAACACTATATAGCCTATAGGAATGCCCAAAAAAAAGTATTTATATGGCAAACACTTTGTTGATTAATTTAATCCATTCACTAGTTACGATGGATGATATGTAACTGGTTATACATTTTACATCTATAGTTGAGTACATTTTTAGGTGTGACACTAAAATGGACTCTTATAGTGTCCAGACATTTTGAAAAACAAGACAAATTTTAAAATTTTGTTACTGTGCCTGAACAGGTACATAGTTTTAAAAAATTTTATATTTAAGGAAGTATACCTAGATGCTTTAGAAATTTAAATTTAGGACAAAACTTAAATATTGAAATTAAACACACTATATTTTAGCCTTAAGATGCGTTAATTTTAATTCGTTTCAGCAGTTGATTTTATGTTTTCCGTGAATTCACAAGTGTTCCTTAGAAATACCCATACCTAGGCTCAGGAATACTTTTTTCATTAATTAAAATACTGATTTTTTCTTCTATATTTACACTTTAAAATTACAATTTCATGCTTTCAAATATCCTACCCGTATTCTCTAAGACTATATTAAAACGGAATCATTTTTTTCCTGCGAAGTTTAGAACCGAAATCGAAATCAGTAACTAAAAAATTTAGTTTTGAAATATAAGTAAGTCCTGTATAAGCCGGAACCGGAACCGAAAAAACTATAAAGGTTCCTCCCAAGCTTGGGACGACCAACACGCACGCACACGAGGAATTTCCGGTTTTTTCGGTCTACCGATTCGCCGAGAGAGAGAGAGGGTATGACAGATATATATATATATATATATATATAGGTGCGGTTATAGGTATATACAGCGTATATATTTATACCATATATAATGTGTAATGTTTATGTATGTATATGATATATATGTGGAGTGCGAAGAGATTGAGAGACGATCGACGAAATAATTCGACGTACGCTGCCTCGAGGGTTCATGCCGGTGGGAAGCAGGGAGGTAAGCGGGGACGGACTCGATATCTTATTATTCGATCTAGCGGAAGAACACATTTATATATACGCAATACGCATGTACATATTCGGCGGAAGTCACGAAATCAAAACTGAAAGGGACGGTAAACACGTACACACGCGTATAATATGCATATACGTGCATATTATATGACGATAAAAAGCAGACGTTCGGGGGAGCGTGACGGGCTGCGGAGCGACTAATGGGGCCTGGTCGGTCGGGATAGAGTCTAAGATTCTTTTGGCGAACGATTTTTCGGGAATCGTGAACGCAGTGATTTGTGGAGTCGCGTCCGAGTCGGGTATTCCGTGACCGCGGCTTCCAATAGCAATCGTCCAAATACCTACAATGAACATGACGATTCACCAATCACCAAGCACCATGCTCATCCCTATTGTTTTAATTCGATAATGATTTTATTCGCAATCTGCAGATTTTTAAATATAATAAATTGTACTTTAAGACCATTATTTGAAAAACAAAATTTTGTTTTGCCACTGCAGGATACTCCTGAGATGGTTAGGAAAATATAAGCGCTTAAAAATAGGGTCTTTTAGACGGATCCTCAAAAATTAGAGAAATCATAATTTGAATAAATTCATTATTAAAGGAAATCTTGTTAGTGAGTATGCTTGGTAAATCACTCCGTATAACAGTTATATGGCCCCCGCAGGTAGGTCCTCTTATTCATGATACATTCTGTAAAATACTGAAAAACTAAAAGTATATACGTATAGTTACTTAATAATGACAATTTACCGATGTATACAATTATAATATATATCTAGATGATTATCACTGTATATCGGATATCTTGTTGTCATATTTTTTTTTTATTTTGATCTATGACAGCTGACGCTTTATCAACTAAAATGTTGAGCTATAATTTCCATGCCACGCAAAATATATATATTATACAGGTATTTTACTTTAAAAATTTGTTTTTATATATATTATTTTTCAGAATGTAAAAAAAAATTATATACCTTATATTATACATTATATTGAAATTGTTTTATATTTAATTTGTCTTGTATTTTTTTTAAAAATCCCAGTGTAAAATAAAGTAAAAAATACGTACAAATATTATTATAACCAGGAACTTTTAATTATATAATAATTATAGACTTGTAAAAAATGTTTTATCAGCTACAGATCTACTAATACACTACTATTGTAGGTAGCGTCAAATGATGGAATTTAAAATTTATTTTTTTTTACAAAATACATCATATTATCATAATTATCAGTGCACTTTGATAAGGGATTATTTTTTTTTTTCAGTGGATTTTCGTGGGGCTAAGACACCCGAACTCGTATTGTTATTATCATAAGAATAGGAGTGCGTGGGACGTGGTGGGTGCGCGGGTGAGAAGATTCGGCGGTGGTTAGGACTGCAGATCGGCTGCGGGCGGAGGAGCTTGGTCGGTCGTCCGACTATTGTGCGCGGGCAAGACTGCTGCTGCCTCCGCCGCCGCCTCCGCTGACGTTTGCGGTGACGGCGGCGCGGTGGTGGCGCTGGAAGCAGGGCGGCAGAGAGGGTGCCAAGCGGCTCGGCTCCCTTCGCCGCTATCAGTATTCAGTTGTTCCGGTCGAGCTTTACGCGTCGCACGCGCCCAGACGGTGTGCGCCATCGTCGTTGTCGTCATCTGTCGTGGACGTGGTCGATATACCACTCCGTTTTTGGTTAAGTTTCCTCTCGTTCATCTTTTGCGTTTTGTTTTTTCCTCCTGTTTATCGACCGACAGTACTATTATCATTCCCCTCCCTCATCTCGCTGACGTGAAGGTACTAATTATCATCATCATCTGCATTAATAATTTGCCGTAACCCGTTAAAACATTTGCCAACGATTCTCCGAAGTCCCGATGTGACGGTCACCGGCTGGATTGCTTTTTACTGCAGGTACGGTATTCGAAATAAAAATCACTATAAAAAATAAATATTACCTCCGTGTTTAGAGTCTAGTGACGATTAAATCGTACCTAATCTAACCAACAAGGCGTTGTAAAATATAAAACATCATTTATAATCAATGTATTATTATAATTAAAGACAATGGTGTGTATCGCTATATTACATATACTGACAGTAAGACTAATTAAAAATAAAGGTTTACGATAAGTACAATTTTTTTTATTTTTAGTACCTAGCTCTGAAAAAATCGTATATCTGATTATCTTAATTGAATCATGACACCAGTCTATTGCATTGGATAGTATTCAAAAATAATTTTCAAATCTGTTATGCTATTAATCGTTAAAATATCTAACCACCAAGCACTAACGTCACTGTGGTTATTTGACAACGGTGGCTTTTACACACTGTAATATATTATAAACCGTTCACATTTAACCGTTTCTTATATACATTATTTAATAGCGTCACAAATATTTGATCAACCCGAAATTCCTTACATAACACTGCTCATCGATTTCCACCAATTGTGTATAGTTTTATATGTAATGTACATGTTCCATATTATTTAGTATTTTTGAATAATAATAATGTTATCACCTATCGTTGGTCTAGCGAATGAAAAATTAAAATATCGACGATATATTATTATATAAGAAATATGTACCACTATTATAATTTACAGTATGCTGTAATACTATACCTAAATCATTGCACTGCAATTATTTTACTTTAATTCACCTATATATGTAATTCAGAAGATTTTTAGAGGATCTTTTTAATAATAAACATTTTTTTTTTTGTAACGGTTATTAATAATATTGTTAAAAAATTACTCTGAGAAAACAATTAGCAAATGGCGAATTGCAGCCATTTCAGAAATCAAGGGTTCTCCCCCACATATTACATAGGAGCCAATTTGTAGATTACCACCTGTGCTATTCCCTAAAGAGAAATTACTTCAAGTTCCTACTTTAATATTTCTTCATAGGTATTTTGTTTTATTGTCTCCAAAGTCCCCATAAAATAATATAACTTCTGTTAATTTATTTTCAGCATCTACAGTACATTATTTAACTACGAAGTTAGTTTTGTTTAATCTGAATTAAACATTTATATTTTGTGTATAGTACAAGTTTGAGGGATAACTAACCAAACGATTCCATTATATCCTAAAAAACACTAAGTTGTTAAAGTAAATGTGTGTTTTTTTCATTTTAAGACGTAGACACACTGCTAAACATTAAAATATGCATTTTAAATACTGACAATAATAGCCATTTGTAAAAAAATATATTTAGTCATACACCGAGCTAGGATTTTGGTGACTTGTGCTGTTTTTTGGTAAGTGCTATACAGTTCTAAACAAAAAATAAATTTGTTTCATGGTACAAAACTTTAGAAAGTGTAATTTTTATTTTGCATTTTTTGTGTTAAATGCATTTCATTGCATTTTTAATCTCATTTTTACAAATATTAGGTTCAGTTTGAGTATTTAAATTAATTTAAAATTTTTTTAATACGTGTTGTATAGTAAAAATGTTTTGTGTAATATAAAAAAAATGAATAAATAATAATTCATAATTCATAATTATATTTGTTTTAAAATTCAATTTTTGTTGCTCATCTAAATACATTTTTTGGTCATTTTTCAAGTTAATATTTTAGAATTTTTAGGGCATTTTGCATTTTTTTTTAGTGCACTGTTGTGTATTTTTTAGTTAATTAAAATCCTAGCTCTAGTCATATACATTGAAAGAATATTTTTTCGTTTCAATTCAATGACTTATCTTTTAATTCAAATTTAACAAGTACATTACAGTAACTTAAAACATGAATGATGAGATCTGAGATCTGTACAGCAGAGTGGTTACATACTTACTTACATGGCAAGTATTGAGTAGTTGCCTACCTTTTTTGACTTAAATGGTTTTACGTTGCTTGTTGTTACTATTTTAATTTAAACATCTGGGCTTATTATATCAAGTATAATAGAGACGCCTGATATAAAAAATTTAAAAACATTAACTATTTGTTTTTTACTATTTTTCTACGAATAAATTAGTTCATGCACTTTTACTTTTATTCAATTTTTGTCATTATTATTTTGTTGGCCAGAATTATCTAAATATATGTGAAATTTTAGTACGAGTAAGACATGGTATTACTCATTATTTATTTGTGTGAGAAAAAAATAACTCAATATTTATCAAGATCAACAGTGATTCCTCTTGAAATGTGTAAATTAAAAAATAACCATTAAAATTTCAATAAAAAATAAGTTAAAAAAATGATTTGAACAATTGTTATGTCCTTGAAAGATAAATTATTTTGACGGGTGTGAGTGATTGTTATATGAATGATTTTTCGTTGTTTACCCGTTTTAATTGCATATTGAAACATTATTTACAACTGACATGCATGAAAACAATGCTATTTATCCAACTTATTAACAACACTTAATAGATTTATTCTACTATATTATTATAATATAAACCGCATACAGAGAGTTGGCATTATTAATGCAATAATAGCAATAAGTTTATAAACTTCAATAGTTTAAGACTTTAATATTAATTACCCTGCAGACTTCATTAGCATAAAATTGAATAATAACAGCTAAAATTGTTGTCGTGAAATAAACGACAAAAATAATATTATGCGCGTTGCATATAGGTAAATGTTTGTATTCGTTTAGGGGATTCGGATTAATGTTTTTTACGCCTGGCGTAAGTATACATTTATTTTTAAACACGTGTATTTAATATTATGACCCGTTCGGCAGAGTTTTTTTCGAAAACATCAGCCGATAACGTGATATTGGAAACTTAAACATAACATTATTACCGTCAACACATTGATTAAGACTGCTTGAGTGTTCGGGATACAAATGGCGTTTGTAAACATAATATCATCCGATCTAATTACAAACAACTCGCGTGGGAGTTACATATATCGTGTACCTACCTATACATACCTACATGCCTAACCTTTGGCTAACTGATAAATAATAAAATGGCACTACTCAGTGAAGGCGAATCGTATAAATCTGTTAACCGTTCTAATATTACCTATGTACCAAGCACAACAGTCGTGTACTACGCTCCGTTTTATAAAATAAACTTAAACCGCTGCCATTGAACCGTTCTGAAAAATCATGTTTTTCGACGACGGTCGTTAGTGTTTTATTTTCGTTGCCATTGTTAATTTTGTTTTCTGTCGTCAAATTTCGTAAAGCGAAACAAAACACCACTTGCAGATAAATAAATTGCGAAAAGCTCATTTTCGCTGTTAGTTTTGAACGAAATTTACTGTAATTATTGAGAATCTATTAAGCTTTGAGAATTGTTGTTGTAATTATATCATAATATATATATGTTATACATATTTTGTACATATTTTGTACATATTTATCTATTGTTCATCAAATCACTGAAAATATTGTCTCGAAAAATAGTAGTAACTCACATTATTATATCAACGTCGTCTTAGTGATCGTCGTCGAAATATTATAATATATTTATATAATTACGCGTCATGTGATGCCTTGTATGAGCCATTTAGCCGAATTTCTCCTGTACACGTCACAGGAAATGATTGACGAGGAATAAGATAGATTTTAAAATTATATTAATTATAATCATTGAGTCGCGACTATGCACTGTGTATTTGTATATATGAATTTCGTTTCGCAGTCGCCGCCACGCTGTCTCCCCGCTGACAGCGAGACGTCGGCTTTTTAATGGAGAAATATGCGAATAATCCCTCATGGGCCCGGCGGGGTTTATCGAAATCATTGTTGCCAAAGCTTTATATAAACCACGCTCAATCGTAACACGGGTGTACATTATAACATTATATTATTATATTGTATATACAAGACCCGGGGCCGCCAAGTTGTTGCTTCGACCTGGCTCCGAATTATTATTGCACTTAAACCACGGCGGCGAGGAAGACGATGATAATGATGATGATGATGATGATGATTACGATGATTATCACGATGATAATATATGTGTGTGTGTGTGCAGCGGGGTGCAGCGGCGCCATTGCCGGAGGTACTTTCTGCCCTTCCCCTCGCCACTCTCCGAACGTCCAACTGAAAAACGGGTCCCGGTTCTCGCTCGTTGTCGGTCGGATGGACGGTTAGTAGTTTCACGAGAAGGACACGGGGTGTTTACTGTTTCACATTATCGTCGGTATCATAAAACTTGCCGTTTGGGCGCGAAAGAAAACGGACAGAGTTAAAGAACAAAATATGCCGCGCGAGGGTGGCAACCTCCTTCACGGATCGGCTGTCGTGCCCTAAACTCCCCGTCGTCGGTGATAAAATTAAAAGTGTAGCAGTATAATGTATTATATATACGTGTAACGAGGGGACGTTCGTTTACGTTAAAGGGAACAACAAATGAAACGCGGCCGGCCGCGACCCACGGATAGCAGTGCTTTCGAATTGAGAGCGACTCCTACAGCAGCTGTAAGCCGGAAAACAATATTTTTCTTTTAGATTCTTTCTGGCATTAGGGTTTTTTTATTATTATTATTATTATTATTATTATTATTGGGGATCGAGTGGGGATCTTGCGAGTAACCTTCTTTTGAACCGCAATAACAATTCACTCGTTACATATATATATAGACTATCGTTGTATACTTTGTTCGATAACAAATAGGGTAGTAGTAAGTCTGTATACGAGAAGATTACCATGATAAAGTCCACGACAGGATTTAGTGTTATGAATTATGATTAACATAAAACAGATTTATTGGATGATGTTTATGAAAATACATTGAATTTGAACGGAGTTCATAATTATTTTGTTGTTTTAATCATCACAAACGGTTTTTCTTCTATCTGGTTTGCAAACTATTAATTTATTCAACACTTAAAATAAAATTGTCATTACTAAAATATTCTTTCCTTCTAATTACAAAGTCTTATTAATAAATTCTTAATTGTCTTATAATCTTATGGTTACGTTGTGTAA